GTTCCCAAGACTATGCCATTGTTGCTAAGCTTGTAATGCTTTCCCAAAGGCAAAAGTCTCAGGTGGGACTCCATCATCTCTATTCTCCTCTTCAGGTTATTCCAACTGACTCCAGAGAAGGTGACCCGCAAACCATAGCCTAACAAAGCCGCTGTAGACACTGACGAGGTCAATTATGCTGAAATTGGCCAGGTCTCCATGCCTTGCATGTTAATTGTTCTTCTACAGGCCATTTATGTAGGACTCACAAAACCCTGGGATTTCTCTCCCTTTAACTCTTCTTCCTACTGTTGGTCTGTAGCACTTGCTTCCTGGGATTATTTTTTTTTTTTATGTAAATAATTTTACCACATAGATAAAACTCAATCCCTTGAGGCCTTTACACTATTTTATATTGAAGTCTGCTCTACTTGCCTCTTAATGTTGTTCCCTCTGGTGAGATCTCTGATGCGTAGTGGGATGATAAACCAAAACCAAACATACTGGAATGAAGTCAATTCTGACTAAAAATGGACTGATTGCAATTACAAACAGGTAAATAGGTCTGATTCCAAAAAAATTCCAAAATTGGCTCTTTAAGCGAAACACAGGTTACTGATGAGTCTCCCTCCAATCCTCATGGCACATTCCTCTTCAGAGTTCAGTCTCTTGAATAATTTGCTCCACATACAGATTGAGTAAGTATGGAGAGAGAATACAACACTGACATACTCCCTTCCTAATTTTAAGCCATGTAGTGTTCTGTTCACACCCCATTCTTCTGTTAGCCATAACTTGTTATGATCCACACAGACAAATGCATAGTCAGTAAAGCATAAACAAATCTTAGGAAGGGTGCAGCGAGAGTGCTCTTTGGAGGCAAGAATGATGAGGCTTTGCCTCATATACTTTGGGCATGTTGCTAGGAGGTGCTATTCCTTGGAGAGGGACATGATGCTGGGAAGGGTGGAGGGTTGGTGAAGGAGAAGAGGAACTTCAACCAGGTGCATTGACATGGTGACTTCCACAGCGGGCTCTTGTGTGTCAGGTGTGAGGATAGCACAGGATAGGAGAGGCGCAGGGTTCAGATCTGTTGTTCATTGAGTCGCTATGGGTTGTACATGACTTGATGGCACCTAATGACAAGAGATAGGTCTGAAGGGAGGCCTCCCACCAACACAGGGCTTGACCTGGAGCTGCAGGGTCATCTCAGTTTTCTTCTGGGTTTTCCACAAGGTTGAGATCTACTAGTTTGCATACCAGATGTACAATTTCAGGAGAATTAAGAGTAATTTTTTCCCCTTTTTTTTCTAATTTCAATGAACAATTACAGAGATTGTGGATTTCCATTCATTCACTGTTCCACTTTTCTCCCCGCCCACCCCACCCCTACCCCCCAGTTGAGAATTAGGATAATTTTAAACTGTTTTTATTGACTTACTGTAGCAACTTTAGAACACACAACCTTTGTGGCTTGACATCTTTTTCTTTGTACTGCCAACTCTTAGGTCCTAGCAGGTTGGGCAGTTAATAGGGCAGCAAAAACATGGCAGACTCCTAGCTAATGTCATGTGGTCATATTATAGCTTGAGCTTCTGGCCTCAGACATGTTTCTCTCTTCCTCTCCTTTCTCAGACATAATGGGAACATCCTTTTAGATGCGGAAGGCCACATCATCCACATTGATTTTGGCTTCATCCTGTCCAGCTCACCTCGAAACCTGGGCTTTGAGACGTCAGCCTTTAAGCTGACCACAGAGTTTGTGGACGTAAGTCTGAAGGGAGAGATGCTTTCAGGGTCACTCTGTTTTTTTCTTTCATGGGAAGGGGAGCTGATGAAGCTCTCCTAAATCAGATAGAACAGAACAGAAATGGCAGTAAGTCAAGGTGAGGCTGGATTTTCTGGGAGGCTACTGAGGGAGTGGTACAATAAAGAGATTTGGCATACTTGTACCAAGTACAAGGAAGACCTCCCAGGTCTGAAAGGTAGGGTTTTTTAGGACAGGGACTATTTCTTTTCTAAGCCCACTATGCATTCAGCTCTCTCCTCTCTCTAGGTGATGGGTGGCCTGGATGGTGACATGTTCAACTACTACAAGATGCTGATGCTGCAGGGGCTGATTGCTGCTCGAAAACACATGGATAAAGTAGTGCAGATTGTGGAGATCATGCAGCAAGGTGGGACTGGGGAGAAACAAGGTGTTTGATGATAGAATAGTGCCTCAGGAGCACTAACCATAGAACTTCAAGAAGCTGATTCTGTCCCCAGTTGGAATCTTGGGGGGGGGGGTCTTTCAGCTCTCTCTAGTCTTTGTCTTTCCTCCAAGACATTCTTCCTGACTCCTGACAGACCTAGGTGGGAACTACCTTTTAGGTGTACTCAGGGTACACTTCCCATCTCCAGTCTCCTGGCCCCTTTGAGAAATCTCCCTGACCTTCTACCTGTCTCCTCTTTGCATTTCTCATCTCCCTTCTGTCACCACTTTCCTCTTCATTTCACATTGACTTTTTGATTGCCCTGTCTTTAGGACCCTTGTCTTTCCCACTACTCAGCCCTCCTGCCTAAAGCTAAGGTTATTTTTTTTCACTAGGCTATCTGCTAGCTTGCCATCTAGTTTTTCATCCAGGTTCTCTTCCTCTCCCAGCTTGAGTCCTTCTTGCCACCCCTTTTTAAAGTTGAGGTGGCCAGGGTCTGAGCTGCCAGTCTCCTCCTTCTTCCCCCCTCACCCTCACCCAACAGGTTGCCGCCGTTGCTCAGGAGCATCCCCATCTGGCCCCGTGATGACGGTGGCCCAGGTCATCTGTGAGTGTCAGATGTAGCATAGGCAGAGGCCTGCAACCAGATAAGTGCCCAGCTCAGGGCCCATTACCCAGAACCTCTTTCCCAGTCTCTCCTCTGGGTCACAAGATGCTGCTCCTTCACCCCTTACTTGGGGGAGATTTGGTACTGGCCCACCTCTCCTCCAGGCATACCCTTACCTACAGAAGAGTATGGGATAAAGATGGGCTCAAGACAGTCTCCCATTAACCCTCCCTTTTCTCCACCCTAACCAAATTACATCCACTTTCAGGGCCACCTTTGAGGTGGGGAGGGGAAGGGGCACTTTAGATACTCCTGGCTGTCTTTCTTCCTATTCATCCATGACACTCTACTCCCATTTCCCCCAGGTTCTCAGCTCCCTTGCTTCCATGGCTCCAGCACTATCCGCAACCTCAAGGAGAGGTTCCACATGAGCATGACTGAAGAGCAGCTCCAGCTGCTGGTGGAGCAGATGGTGGACGGCAGCATGCGGTCAATTACCACCAAACTCTATGATGGTTTCCAGTACCTCACCAACGGCATCATGTGACACCCTCCTCCTCGAGCCTAGGAGTGGTGGGGAGACCCAAGGAACCCTCCCTGAGAGGACCCTTGTCTGATAATCCCCAAACCAGGAAATCCCACCCACCCATCCACCTGCCCAAGGGAAATGGAAGGCAAGAGTTACAAAGGATCATGTGGTAACTGAGAGAGCTTGCCCGGGTGGAGGGGGTGGGAGAGCCAGCCATGGAAGTGCAGACTTGCTGGGGCTCCCCTGCTGCCCAGTTGTGTGTCAGTATTACCACCTGACAGACTCCAGGACTCACTGTCCTCCAGAGAACAGATGATGATTGTGGGAACGCTGGGGCCTTTCCCCTCAGCAGATTCTGTCCACAGGCCATCCTCTTCATCTGCTCTGGGCCCCAGGAAGTGAGGGAAAGAGCACATTCTTGGTACTTAGGATTTGATCCTGTGGTTGGCCTTTGGCCATGCTGCTGCCCCACTGTCCCCTCCCAGGGACTGACCCCTAGCTCAAGCTCCTCTTGATACATGGACTCTAGCAGGGTTCCTGCACTTGCTGAGGGTCCCCATCCCAGGGGCAAGGAAGGGAAGCACTACAGCCCCCCCACCGTGAGGGTCTTGGCCTAGCCATGGGGAATTCCTTGCTCTGATCCCTTCCCCACACCCAGGGAAACAGCTCTCAATTTTTTTATTTTTCATTTTTGTTTGAAATAAATCCCTTAGTTAGCTATCTGTGTCACTTCTGATTTTGTTTGGGGGTAGGGGAGCCAGGAGGTAGCTAGTGAGGAATGAATGGATTCATCAGTGTCTAGTATACCAAAGACACCAACGCAGAGAGAAGGACCACTTTTCCTCCACCTGCTTTACCAATAACACCTCTTCCCTAAGGTGTTCCCTCCT